ACAAATGTTGAGCCCAAAACTGAGCCAGCCTGTGTCTCTCCTGTTCAGACACCCACGCCTGTCAATGATTTATCAAAAACAGAACACACTAAAAGCTCGTTCCGCATTCACAGAATGAGAAGAATGGGCTCGGCTTCCAGGAAAGGAAGAGTGTTTTGCAATGCATGTGGCAAAACTTTCTATGACAAAGGTACTCTTAAAATCCACTACAACGCTGTTCACCTGAAAATCAAGCACCGGTGCACTATTGAGGGCTGCAACATGGTCTTCAGCTCTCTCAGAAGCCGCAATCGCCACAGTGCTAACCCAAATCCCCGCCTCCACATGCCTATGCTAAGGAACAACCGCGACAAAGATCTAATTCGTGCTACATCAGGTGCTGCCACTCCGGTCATAGCAAGTACAAAATCCAACCTAACTTTAACAAGCCCTGGGCGTCCACCAATGGGGTTTACCACTCCCCCTCTAGATCCTGTACTACAGAACCCTCTTCCCAGTCAGCTGGTGTTCCCGGCTTTAAAGACTGTCCAACCTGTTCCTCCCTTTTACAGAAATTTACTTACTCCTGGAGAGATGGTGAGTCCTCCAACCTCACTCCCTACCAGTCCAATAATACCAGCAGTGAGTGGCATGGAGCAGCATCCCCCTCCTCCTTCAGAGTCATCAGTACCTTCAGTACTGATGCCCACCCCAGAGCCTAATGCTGACCTTGCCCCCAAGAAGAAGCCAAGGAAGTCAAGCATGCCAGTTAAAATTGAAAAGGAAGTTATCGATACTGCTGATGAGTTTGATGATGAAGACGAAGAGGTGAATGACAGCAGCACAATGGTGAATGACATTGGTCATGACAATCACTGCCATTCTCAGGAGGAAATGAGCCCAGGCCTGTCTGTGAAAGACTTTTCCAAAAGTGACAGAAGCAGATGCATTTCCAGACCAGACATAAGAAGGGCAGACAGCATGACATCAGAAGACCAGGAGCATGAGAGAGACTATGAAAATGAGTCGGAGTCATCAGAGCCCAAATTGTGTGAGGAATCCATGGAAGGCGATGATCGCCTTCATGAACCTGGTGAAAAATCTATGATGCACAGTGACAGACCAGATGAAAACCACAATGACTCTTCCAACCAGGATGTCATTAAAGTGAAGGAAGAGTATACAGACCCTACATATGATATGTTCTACATGAGTCAATATGGACTGTACAATGGAGGCAGTGCCAGTATGGCTGCCCTTCATGAAAGTTTTGCTTCTACATTCAACTACAGCAGCCCTCAGAAGTTCTCCCCAGAAGGTGAAATGTGCTCCAGCCCAGACCCCAAGATCTGCTATGTGTGCAAGAAAAGTTTCAAGAGTTCCTACAGTGTGAAGCTTCACTACAGAAATGTTCATTTAAAAGAGATGCATGTCTGCACAGTGGCTGGCTGTAATGCTGCGTTCCCATCACGGAGAAGCAGAGACAGGTCAGTAAATATTAATTGATTTTCTACATTATTAAATGTGTTGAATTATGTAAGAATAGGCAGTTTAGGATATATGAAGAAATAGAGAGATGCACAGTAATGACATGTGACAATCATGTTCCCATGACATTGAGAGAGTTTTATCACTTTAAGATTTTCATTGTTTCTTGGCATTCAGAATAGTATATATTGTGCCATCCTCTTAAGTGACTGGCTAGTTCATAAATGTCATTATTCTTTCTGTGTGCCTGTGAACACGTGTATTGTACTTCTGTTTATAAGCTGCAGCTTTTACTACATTTATTTTCTTCTCCCTGCAACTTTTAAACTAAGAAAAGCTTCTATTAAATATATAGTAAATTATAAACAATACCAATATCTCCATGCATGCATATCAAACCATAGAACTAGGAAGGAGGGGAAGGGGTGGATGGACAGTTGGATGAATGGATGAAGAGCAAGAAACGAAGGACTGGAATAAAAGAATTATTTCCATCCCCATAGGGTCATATAAAAGCAAACAGGAAGCATTAGAAGACTATTCTTTCTTCTTTTCAATTTTTAAAACTAGCTGCTATGTTGTAGCAAGAACAAGTAAATATTAAGAAAATAGTTATCTCTCTCTTTAGTAGAACTTATACACCTCTCTATCCGCTATGGTCATTTAGTCTACTTTATCTTCTTCTCTGCATGTGAGCAACTCCCTTCCCCACTGATGGGAATTATGCACACTCAGAGAGGAGAGGCTAGACCCCTACATATTTTTAAGATCAACCAGGGTATATTCTGCTGGTCCTTCAGATGACATCATGCCCTAGCTATGCTGCATCAATACGGAAACAGTTGGGCTTAAACAGAAGCAGCTGGTCCTTAAACTCTTAGGTTTGGGTTTTTTTTTAAATACACTATTCTTTTTGATTCCTGAGGAAAATGTAATATAAATGGAATTTGTCAAGGTGGTAGGATAACAGAGATATTTCATACTTGTGGATAAAAGCTCTCGCATGTGATGATGATCATATTGTCACATAACAAAATCTCTCTGGTTCATGGAGTGATGGTGAGATTGGGCTGTCTCTTTTCCTTGTGTTTCATATTTTTTCACTATGTTGTAAAAATCCAGCAGACACAGGAAGGAAATTAAACCTAGCTAAACATTTAACACACAGCTCCTCTTTTTTTTTTTTTTTTTCTTTGTTCATCGAAATTGATGTGGTTTGAAACTGAATATATCATGTCATATAAAACGAAAGCAAGTTAGTGTTGGGGATACTGAGGAGCCAAAATTCACTATTTTGATGGAGAGTCCAGTCCCCAAATATCTCATGTCTTCTGCTACCATTTATGAAATCCATTAAACAGAAAAATAGGAACATATATAAGAATACAAGTTCAAAACGGATAAGAAGGACAATCTAGAAAGTTTGCGTTTCAGTAGGATGAAACCACTGGACATTAAGCAGGTAAAGCTAAATTAAAACTCCCTTCTTGGGGTATCCTGATAACTTTTATGAGGCAAGCTTGACAAGAGAAACATATGAGTCAATGGCATAATCTATGCTGAGTTTAGATGTATGCAACCCCTTTCAGTTCCTGAAATTGCACAGGTTTTGTTAGTCAAGAATTTGGTTGCCCTGTTTCCTCAAGTGAATTATGAAAAGTCAGTCATGTAAGCAAAACAGCTTTGCATTCAGCATGTGAAGTAAGAAGTGGCTAGCTTTAGGATTTGGAACTTCAGGCAATGTATTAAATTTCAACAGGAATCCATTGATAGATCATGCTAATAATAAAGTTAGCATAGTAAAGGTTTATATGTTCTAAGAAAGAGATGACAGTGATGACATACATAAAATATTTCTGAGACAAGAACATTAAAAAAGGGCACATTTAGAAAATATTTCATGAACTATGTAGGATACTCCTGTTAAGCTTATTGAAAGCAAGCCATAAAATAAAAATCTGATTCAGGAACTTAAAACGCAGGTTGTATATTTAAAGATAAAATAATTGTTTACATATAATTTTGAGTTCTGTAAGGCAGAAGATCATCTTTTTATATCATTCCACTAGTAACATTCAGAATATGTTTCAGTTATGTGTTGCACTTGGGACAAAAGAAATTGGTAGGCATATTATATCCTTTAATTGCAAAGATTTAAGGGTGGTTATACACTTCAAAAAATTCAAAGGTGTAGTACAGTTTGTGTGCCTGTTCAAGCTTGATGTTTTTGTAAGTTCATTAGCACTCCTGGTTTGCAACAGTTGTCTGGAAATGCCTTGAAAGAACTAAGTAATACTCTCATGGTTCTTGATACTTCTTTCAGAAACTTGAGTGAGAAACATCTTCAGAACTCCCCTGGCTACCCATTCTTATCCAGAAGTGCAATGTCTAGGAATGTTTGGAAATGAAAGTATATGTACAGCATATAAAAGAAAGTGGATGAAAGATTTAAGTAAACATTTTAACCATTATTTTCTAATACTTCCTCAAAAAATTTTAAAATAAAGTTAGGATGTAAAAGTTAAATTAATATGTTCTCTTTCTTTTTTGCAAACTGTTTAATTGCCCTAAAGATTTTTCCATTCAATTTGTTTTTATTTTTTGCTGATACTCCTTTTGTATATATACATTTATTTTAGAGAGTCATTATCTAAGTATACAATTTCTAGCTCTTTAGATTATGGAGAGCACCTCAAAGATAACTGGATAACTAAATTAATAGTGTTGCAAAGTGAAAACTTCTTCCAGCCACTTAAATAATTTTCACTTAAAAGCTTAGAAGCATTTTGCTATTAATTGTCATACAAGAAATAAGAAATAGCTACCTAAAGCACACAATAATAATTCCTGGATAATATTTGTCATGTATTGGTGTTCCATTTTGGACACATTATAAAAAGTCTGTGTGATTTGCTTGTGTTGTGAGTCACATAATCTTCGATTAGCTAAAGAAGATTAGAATTTCTTTGCTTTGAAAATTAAAATGAAATAATTTTTTCAGTACTATCTTTTTAATGAAATCGGAGTTTTAGCTTTCCCATTGCTTATAGAGTCTTGTGAATTTACCTTTATTTTTAGTCATTTTATTAATCATATTACTACTATTGTATTAATAATAATATTAATCATATTATAACTAGTTGGAGGTCTAAAACTCATAACTGTAGTTACGTTCTAGAAGAAAATACAAGCTTACGTGCAGATAAATAACATTGGCTTTTTGTTTCCTTTAGAGGCATCTGATATGGCTTAAGACCTTTCCCAATGCAATTCTAGTTAATCAAAGGTTTGAGTATATTCCCCCTGTCCTGTACATACACAAAACTGAATTGTTGACAGTGGGTGTAGCTGTTGTAAAATGGACTTTGTAAGGGTGGGGTTGTGATACAAACTGTTGGTTACCAGAGGCAGCAGATCAAGTCAGGAGCAAACGCAGTGCTGCTTTGACTGAAGGAGGGTTTTTTATCCATGTCACATAAATTGTGAAACCTCCGTTGTGGAATGCATCCTGTAGCAATTCGTGTTAAGGGTTGACTAAATCCAGCTTCACCATTCCTACATCATTTGTGCCAAAGTCAACTCCTGTCTAAATATACTTCTGCCAGAAAGATTGAAATATCTTCTAAGATCTTTGACTAAACACTACTATTCCTTGTAAATTAGGGTCAAGATAACCAGAAGATTCAGGAGTCTCACCTCACGCATGTTTTTTCAACACAGGGCAGAGGAAAGCAAAGCAAAGTCCCAGCCCTTACTGTCAATGACCCAGCAATTCTGTTTTCCCTTCTAAAAATTAGACAGTATTTCTTTTGAGTAGTCAAGCTTCACTGAGCCTAGATTTTTTTTAAAGGGTCTTTTTTCATCACCTTCTGAGCTACAAGTAACATCACTCATCAAATCAACCTTATACATACCTATACCTTTGATCTTTTCCCCAAACAGAGAAGTCTTTCTGTCTTTCTTTTCCTGGAAGCACTACACTTGTGAAAACCACTTTTTCTTCCATTCTTCACCAGCTGCTCCCTGAATTAGCTGTTCAGCCATTTCTGTTTCTGTATTTACTTCAGATGTCCTTTCTTCTAAAGGCAAGATCTTCAGGCTACATCTTGTTGCAAGAAGGCAATGGAGAGTAAATAGGAAAAGAGACCATATTAAAAATTATGTCAGTGGTCAGAAGCAATGTCATAAGCCTTCTTTTGAACAGAAAGACATCTTTCCAAATAATTTTTTAGATGGAAAAGAGGGAGAAGGGAAGAAGATAAGTTCCTGTGAGAACTGTGCACTTGAATGGAAAGAATTGTCCTTATAAAGTGAATTCTCTCTGGACTCAGAGGAGGTCTCTCCTGTGAGTGAGGAGAAAGGGCCTGTGGCCCCAGTGGTTAGATTCCCCTGGGATCTGCTTCCCAGCCTCATCTATGAGTTCTGCCCCAGCAGATACTGATTTTGCCTTACAAAGAGATAGGTGTGGTTGGTCCTTGAAGTCCACTGAGGTACAGCTGCTCAGGGAATAATCCTGGGCTGTGGATGAGACATGCAGATGGGAGGAGGGAATAGTTATTTCCTGTCCAAAGAGGACAGCAATGCCAAAGTTTCATCTAAGAGTCTGTGTTGGAGAGCACACGCAGAGGTGAACGTCTGGAAGGTGAACCTTAGAGCAGTTGGCTTCATTTCTGGCTCCCACCTTTAAGAGCCAAGAATTTTGTGGTCAAAACCACTGATGAAACAGGAGGCAGGTGGACCTTCTGCCTTCAGTAAGTCTTGCTGAGAAGCTGCTGTCAGATCTTAAGGAGAAATACAGCCATCTTCTCTGTCAGCCTTAGTGCATGCTAAATCCCCATTTCACCTCAGTACTGGCACTATTAAAATCTGTGTTTCTTAAGCTAGGACACAGTATTATTAATATGTTACCACGTTTTCCTTTCAGTGTATGCAAAATAAATTAATTCTCAGTGTACCTGTTCAGAGGAACAAGGCAAGAACTTTTCACTTTGTCTTTCTG